CTAGCAGCCAAATAGTGTGAGAAAGTGTTATAAGTCTGCGGGCGTAGCCATAGCATCCACTAGAAGCCAGATAGTGTGAGAAAGTGTTGTAAGTCTGCGGGCGTAGCTGTAGCAATCACAAGGTTGGAAGGTGGTTCTAGAGTGTTGTGAGTGTGCGGGTGTAGCTGTAACATTCACTAAGTTAGTAGATAGCATGAGCGTGTTGTTAGAACGCGGAAGGAACAGTAGTACCCACCAGTTTGGGTGTAGCAGTGAGGGGGTGGCAAATCCACAGATTGGTTTATGGATTTCCTCAGAGGGATTAGACATGTTTTGAGCCAGCGATACGACCGTAGGACGACATGGGACACATCAGGTCATGGGAGTCAAAGGAAGGAAGAGTTGGGCAGTTTAAGGTCGTTTATGATATAAGGCTACCCTTGGGCATGTAGCAATCACTTTTAGCCTTGGATTTGATGATGACAGGATTCGATGCATGGACCCGATCGGTTAGATCAGAAGGTTGTTAGAGCCACAGTAGTATAATAACTAGTGACAACTAGTTCCAGAGAAGGATTTCGTTCAGAAGTCATGTGAGGCGACTAAGTGGGAGACCTTTCGCTCCGCAGCTGGGCTGGAATCCGGTATCTAGGATGACTGGCGAATGAATTGAGACCCAGAAGGTCTCGGTAGATTTTGGAAAGTAGCCATGGGGCATTATGCTATTTTCGGCAGTTCAGTGATGCGGGTAGTTTCTATGCTTGGGCAATATTAGTATTTGTGTCTTGGGTTGCAAGTACGGACAGAGTAACCTATTTCTTGGGTTGTGCTAAGTCACTCACAGCGGGATTAACTGAGCCTTGGCCAAGTATAAGTGAGCTGCAGGGATAATTGGGTCTGTGATCCTGTTACATAGTGGGATTCTTGAGTTATCAAAAGTTGAGTGGTACTGGTCAGTTAAGGGATAAGTAGATTGGGTTAAATGATAATGATTCAGTATGAGTGGACTGTCAGGGATTCAGACCATCTCAAGATAGAAGATTTCAGACGAAGTAGATGTGATCTTACGGCGAGGAATTCGTTCACCAGCGGATTTTAGGGCTTTGCGAAGACTGGTCACGGCTACCCTGGGAAGGCAAGGGTGTGCCCAGTGTTGTGGCCATGTTACTTGAGTAGTTTGGCGTATAAGGAATGGTAAGAAATGATTTCGAGGACGAAATCTAATTTAAGTGGGGAGAGTTGTAACACCCTGTTTATTTATTAAATAAATGAATAAATTGATGAGTGTATAGTAGCCCTAAAATCAATAATTATATAGCAAGGTATTGGTCTCAAGGAGTTAATTGCTACTAATTTAGAAGTTGGGGGTTCAAAGTGTAAGTTTCAGACTTATTTTGTAAGTATTTATGAAGGTAGGGACTAAATGGAAACTTATGGGACTTCATTTGAAGAGATTTTGGGGCTAAGGGGCTATTTGGTAAGTTTTAGACCTAAAATGAAATGAAATTATGAAATCAGGGGCAAAAGGGTAACTATTGGATTAAATTTGAAAAGATTTTAGTGAAGGAGGGGCTGAACTTGAATAATATGAAAGAAGTTTGAAGGGCACGGGTGAACCCGTCACCTTAACGTGCAGCCTCCATATTTAATCAAATGCAAACCCTAACCCTACTAGGAAGCATCATCCGCCTCCACCTTATTTCCCCCACCCAGCGCCGCCGCTTCCCTTCGTTGAGTCACCACCGCCGCTACTCTTCTTCCGGTGACGACCAGCGCTGCAAGGGAAGTCTCCGAGGCCGGTGCACCTGTCGTATCCGTTCCATCACACTTTGTTGAAGACGTCGCCGTCGTGCGACCTCACTGTGACGCTGGTGCTCTCCGGCAACCGCCTGTCATCTTGAGGCTGTTGTGTGGGCTGCGGTTTAAGTCACCACCAATGAATGACGGTACTGTTCGTGGCTCACGAGGTGGTTTTGCCTAACGAGGAACGTCCAGTCAAGAAGGGGTTATAAAGAACCACCATGGCGACCGGCCATGGTGGTTGTCGTCGTCAGCACCACCCCAGACGCTGTTGTTGTCGCTAGCACTGCCGTTTCCTACGCCGTCTCGCAGCTGTTTCACCGGGAGCTGCAGCCAAACGCTGTCGCCGCCGCCACTGCCATCCCAAGACCGTCGTTGTTACCGCCTTGAGCCACCAGGTGGGTGGCTGGAGTGTAGTATGCAATTTGAAGTATATACGTGTGTGTTTTGTCTAGCCGCCGCCACCACGTGCCACCGCCGGCCACCACTAGGGTGGCTCTGTGTGTGTTTAGATTAGTTAGTGTGTGTGTTTATTTTTATATTAAAGCGTTGTAATTGTAATTAGCGAAAGAATAATGAAAAGAACCATACCTACCACCGTGAGGTGGTAGCTGCTGCTGTAAGCCGCCATTGACCACCACTTCCTGAGGTGGTAGTGGGTGGTGCCCGACTAGTGAAACCCTAATGGGACTAGTGAAATCCTAATGGGCTTAAAGATTTAGTTTTGTCCTATTGGGTTATGATTGGGTGAGAAACCCTAATTAGGGTTTAGAAAACCCTAATATTGGATTATGGGCCTTGGACTTATCGGGACCCACATTTTTGGGCCATTGGAATTGGACTATGTATTAAGCCTGATTACACCATATGATTTATCTAGTAGAGTAGTGGACTTAATGGATTAAGTCCTTAATGGGTTAAGTGAGAAACACTTAACCCTAATTGTCATATTTTTATGTGAACCCCCTAATTTCACTTGGGCCTTAAGTTAGGCCTTTATATTGGGTTTGGTTGGATTGGGCCCATAGATGGGCCATAGTTTGGGCCTTGATGAGCATAAGATATTGGACATCAGAATGTCAAGTATTGACCTAGAATAATTTAATGGGCTTAAGGTAAGGCCCCGGTAAGGGGGCTTGGGCCCCAACTTAAGAAAATTGGGCCATAAATGGGTCATGGTTGGGCCTTGGTTCATTATTAGACTTTTGGGCTTTTGGGATTAGACCTTGGGCTTGAATCAAGCTAAGATAGAGGTAAAGCAACCTTTTACCCCAAGCATGGACTTATGAGTATATGTGATGGAACCCAATTATTAATTGGGTGTTATTTTGATGTTGACAGATTCGGGAATCTGTCATCCAGCAGCTAGGATTTTGTCAGCGGGACTTCAACAGTGTGAGGTGAGTTTTCCTCCAGTAGGAAGGGGTCTAAGGCACCAATGTCGGCCCGTTTATGTAGTTGCAGTATGTCGGGGTAAGCCCGATGTCGGGGTAAGCCCGATGTCGGGGTTAGCCCGATGCAGTTTATATATTTCCGGACTTCGGTCCGATGCCGGGGCGGTCCCGAGAAGTAGTTAAGTATGCGTGATGTCTTTGTGATTCATGCATGTTATATGATATGTGTTATGTGTTCCGGGCTTCGGTCTGATGCCAGGGCAAGCCTGATATATGTTAGTTTACATGTTATGTGTTATGTGTTCCGGGGTAAGCCCGATGTATGTTAGTTATTATACAATGTATTATGTGTTCCGGGGCAAGCCCGATGTATGCTAGTTTATATGTTATATGTTATATGTTCCGGGCTTCAGTCCGATGTCGGGGCAGGTCCGATGCAGTTTATGTGATTATGTTATATGTTATATGTTCCGGGCTTCGGTCCGATGTCGGGGCAAGCCCCGATGCAGATTATGTGATTATGTTTATGTGTTTATGATATATGTTATGTTGTGTATGTGCCGGGGTAAGCCCGATGCCCGATGCGGTCGGATGTCGGGGTAAGCCCGATGTCGGGTAGGAGTCCGATGTCGGGTAAACCGATGTCGGGATTCGTCCCGATGCAGTTGGGAGTAGTCCCAGAGTTATGTTATTTGTTATATGTTAAGTGTATGGTATGTGGTAGTTTGGGGGAGCTCACTAAGCTTCGTGCTTACACTTTCAGTTTTGGTTTCAGGTACTTCAGTTAGCAAAGAGAAGGCTCGGGATGAGCGCATGGCACACACCACAGTCTAGCCTGGGAGATTTACTCTGATAAGTGATATTAGATTTTGATATGATGACTGATATTACTTTATTTTAAGATACATGGTCTATGATAATTACAATTTATTAATGATTTAAAAATGAAATTTTTGGGCTGTATTTTTGGGATGTTTCAACTCTGGACATTATTTTAAGAGCTTATCACAAAACAACCACGTATTTCACAAGATAACTTTTTTGAAAAATTGCTTTGTCAATGGTCCTAACTTAAAAATCACGAAAATGGAATTATTTTTGCAAAAAAATAAAATTAAAGCAATTTGACAAAAAGGAGGTATTTTGCAAGATACGTGGCCATTTTGTGATAAAGGTTGAAAAGTTGATCATTTGGTGATATTACTTATCCATTTTTGGTTATTCTGTAATTAGCCCTTATTTTAATTATGATTAATATACTTAAAAGATAAGTGTTAAAATTACATGAGACACTTACTTTTATCATCTTCAAAGTCCTTTAAGACGATAACTTGTCTAACTTCAACATTTTCCTTCCTTAATGAAATATATGGTGGCATTTTTTGATGCCTATTTTTTCTTCCTGCTTTCTGACCAGAAAGTAAAATGACATCTTCTATAATCCCTTCATTATTATATTTCAGTGATTCCTAGAAGTCCCTTCATCACAAGCTCCTCTCCTATCAAATTCACTGTCTCAGCATCCAATTTCTCTCTTAACTGCACACATCCCCACATAGATGAAGAAGATGATGGAAAATTTGTCATTTTACATGGAATCAACACTCCATCCAACAAAATGGTGATAAAAGTAGTTTGTAGGGACGACAAATGTTAAAAATGAAAAAACTGAGACCAAATTGATAAAAAGCACCAAATAACAGGGGCACAAATTGTAATTTAACCTTCGCTTAAAACATCATATAAAAGATCATGAATAAATCTGTCAACCTTTTTTAAGATTCTCTCAGCTATTTGCTGCTTCATATTATTCAGATCTGATATCTCCTATTGCTTCTTGTCAATGTCTTCCTTGTTGTTGCTTCTCATTACCCGTGATGATGCCTTTATATGCTTTGCTCTGTTCAAAAATAAAAAATAAACTCTAAGCAACCAATTTATTCTCATCATACAAAAACACTTTTCAGGGACACAAAAAGATAAAAATACTTTTCAGGGAACATAATGCAACAACTTTTCACATTTTCTCCTAACTTATACAATAATTTTCTTATTCATAATCACACTTAAATTAATTACCTTGCTCCAAACCTTAGAGTGGATACACTCTCTGATGAATTAGATAGACTCGGTGAGCAACAGCAAAGCAATGCAGTCTGGGAGCTTCCTCCCTGGATGTAAGAAAATAACAAAAAGCTTAAATGCAAGAAATCATATTATGCTATATACAGAGAAACATCTTTCTGCATAACCAACAATGGCAAGCAATAAATTCAATTTAGGAAATTACATGTAGATAAATGTAATCGAATGGCTTACCAATGGTAAGAGACACTACTAGAAAAATAGCCTTTTTACGACGTGTAATGCGTGTCGTAAAACGCTCAGACAATGCCCAAATGCGTGTCAAGGAAGGCCCTGTCATAACGAGAGACGACACGCTTTTGTGCGTCGTCTATAGACGACGCGCATTTACGACGCACATTTATGACACGCATTTACGACGCACAATGCGTATCAAGGAAGCGTCTATCATAAAGGAAGACGACACGCATTTGCGTGTCGTAACCTTACGACGCACGTTTAGGACACGCATTGCGTATCATTAAAGCCCATGTCATAAATAAAGATGACACGCATTTGCGTGTCATAAACTTCAGCAACCATTTACGATATACATTTACGACGCGTCTTTACGATACTCGTTTACGCATAATACAAAAATATGGAAACAAATATATACCAAAACAATCAATTTCATCCATAACATCATGTCAAAAAATTGTAATACATTGGTATTAAGGGGGATCCGATTGTACATTGTTATTAAGAGGTTTTCCCTAACTATATAACCTAATACTACATTGCTATTAAGGAACACCTTCTTGTTTCTACTTCTTATTGTTATGCTTCTGTTTCCACATGATGCCATCTTCAGTCACCACAATTGTATAGGCTCTCCAATAGTAGTAAAGTATGTTTCCCATAAGCTACAAAAAATAAGTAATCAAGTTAGAGAATTAGAAAATAAACCCATATTATAATTTGTTAATTACTATTGAACTATCATTATTATTGAGAATTAACCTACTTTTAACAACTTGTTGTCAAATTTTATTCTTTAATGTTGTCTTATGAGGCTTAATCTCTTGAAAAACTTTTTTTGTTTTTATTCTTCATGTCGAGTTGATTTTATTTCCAACTTTGGTTCCATTTGCTAGAGGATGAGGTCTTGGAGGAAAGACAGATGTGTGTCTAAAAGCTGTGAATAATATGAAATACACCTGTGAGGGACTTTGATGACTTATTTGATTTGATAGTAATATTTGGGGATAACACTCAAGGAATGATCAGTGAAAGAAACATAAAGAAATGCAAGGATAAAAAAGGCTCATATTAGCATGGAAATACAAGATAACAGACACAATTAACATACAATGCTGGATGAATTTAGGAATTGGAAAAACTCGTGTTAGCATGCAAAAAGCCCACTATCAATAACAACATATTAGATATAATGTTTACATAAAGAAAAATAAGTCCTAAATCTGTTTTTCATTAATTCAACACCTCATATGATATGGCCTTAAAAACAAAAAAGGCAAGGCAAGCAGATACCTGAGAGACCAAAATGGCATTCATTGTTCATGGAGAATTTTCAGGGGTCTTCAAATATGAAACAGATACTTTGTGTTGTGTAACCATAGCACGAAACTCATCAACAATGGAAGAAATAAACAAAAAAAACATTTAAAGGTAAAGTGATAACATATACTCACCTTCCTCCCCAAAACCCTTTGTTGGTGAATGACTTATCTAAAGGAGTATCTTTTACCAAGTACAATACATACATTAAAAGACTCACCAAAAGGAACTTTAGAAGGAACAATACAACCTATTTCATGACCATATGCAGGACAATCTAACCATGCTACAATATGAAAAGTAAACAATCTGATAATATATTATATATCAACCATGAATGATATCAAACACTGCCCTTAAAGTTCCATATAAATTTGGCTTGAACAAAGAAAGTATAGAGAGAAAAAGGGAATCCAACCTGTTCAGGTTCAGAGTACAAAACAAAGCCAAGAGCTAAAACATCAGTCCTTCTAACATCATCACTGACATCCGATACAGCAAAGTGTAACAACTGTCTAATAGCCTTATTATTTGTTGTGCCACTATACGCCAATGCCAACGCATACATCCCACCATCTATTGGGAATTTGAGTCAGCTTGAATCATTGGACATGTCATCCAACAAACTAACTGGAGAGATCCCATCAGTGCTCACGACTCTTTCAGTCCTTTCCGCCTTTAATCTCTCATACAATTAGCTGGAAGGAAGAATCCCAACAGGCTCCCAGTTTCAGACCTTTGAAGACACATCATACAAAGGAAACAAGGGATTATGTGGTTTTCCTCTTAATAGAACTTGGACTACTTCATAAAATAATGAAAGAACATATGATAGATTTGCTTGAGCACTTGTAAAATTCTTGCAAGAGCTCCATCAACTTCACTTTCATCCAATTTAGTTCAGATAATGATTTATTACCTCTGCATCTTAATTCTTTACAACTTAAAGCAAAAAATGATATATTTCCATCAAAATAAGATTCTCCTTGTCCTTCTTCCCCCACACCTACAAATTCAAAGTAACCAAGTTTTTAATTAAATTACAAAATGGTCCTTATGCTTTCTGATCTTTAACATGTTTACTCCAAAATTGAAACTTTTTTAATCTAAAATCAAGATCTTGGGTACAAACTAAATGTAATGTAAAAGTGCTTACTCTTTCTGTATCATCAAGAATTCAAACAGCAGTTTCTTGAACAAGTACCGCATCAAGGGTTTTATGATGCTTTTTAGAGCAATCAGTTAGAGCAATCACTCTTGAATCAAAGTAAACCTTTTTAGGGTCAAGCAAATTAACCATTTCTAGAGCATAAAACAGTTCTTCCTTGCTGTAAATAGATTAAACCAAGAGCATAAAGTGCATGGATTAAACCAAGAGCATAAAGTGCACCCCCTTCTGAATAGGGACTACCACCTCCACCACCACCACCCGCCCCACTTTGTGGAAGGTAAGGTGCCATTAGTGATCTTCCGTGCTGTAAATGGCCTCCATGGATAACACCTAGTCCAGCTGTCGTACTGAACTTAGCCCAATTTGTCGCCTTGCTTAGCCAATCCTAAAATAGTATCCAAACATAAAACATTTACAAATTGCTCATAAATCTTGCTACAAATATAAACAACGGATGTTCTTTTTAGGGATTGCATTGTTGCTATTATGAGTAAAGATTTGTAAGTCAGTTACAAATATGTGTAAAGTAAATGTACATACATTGCTATTATAGTAGTAAAATGACTGAAGTATGTAGATATGATATAGTGAAATTACCAGATTCTCCTTCAAGAATGTATCCACTGTTGTTCCAGCATGCATAAGTGCGTTAGCGTATATAGTTGCACTGTGGCAAACACTGTTTCTCATCTCAATTGATTGCTTTGTTGTCTTGAGAATAAGAAGATCCGACCTATTTAGAAAGTTATAAGAAAGGTGAGACAAGAAACCGAAATAATAGATATAGATAATATAAGAAAAGGGGAAAGAGGAAAGGGGAAAGGTTACTTGTTATGACTGTATAAAAACTGGAGAGTCAACTAAATTGAAGTTTCACCAGACAAGATTCCTTTCATTTTGGTCAACCTTTCAACATATGTTACTTTAGATGTTTATATACACAAAAACAAAAATAAAAATAAAAACATTGATCTCTTTTTTACCTTGTTTGCTGTCAAAAACTTGTTAATTGTGTTTTGCTTCATGTTGTTATGTAAGAGTTAAGCCTTAAATTTGGTTAATGATGTTTTGCTTCATGTTGTTATGTATGGTAAACTTGCAAATATGTATCCATGTGCATATTCAAATACCATCGATGTTCTTCGACACTTTATTTGCTTCATAACCATCCATCTTCGGCATCTGGTATGTCAAATATAGGATTTGATTCATGAAAAAAAAAAGGCAACCGATAGATATAACAGAAAAGAAAATATTACATGTAACATTCTTACCTGACAGTCCATGACTACCAATTCATATGGTGTAGATTGAAGATATATCTTACCCTTCTTTACTTCAAGGAAATGCAAGTTGCTAAAGCCACCACACAAATGTATCGCCTGTCTCTGATTCTTTTCATATATTTGTGTCTTTTAACTGAAAAACTTAATTCTGTAGAAAAATAATAATTAATTTTGCAATGTTTTGGACAGTGAGCAATTTGAATTTTATAAATTATAACATTGAGAATATTTCTAGAAATTGATGGTTTACCTTAGAAATAGAAACTCCTGTAATGTTAGGAATGATGTTGAAAGAAGTAACTCTTCCATCTCTCCATAAATTGACAATCGATAACTATTTATGTGGCTGAAACATGATCAACACAAATGTTAAAAATGTCATCTCACTACCTAAAAATGTTACCCGATGACATAATTATGCAAAAGTTCTACTAGTGTTTAAATCCCCTTTTGGTTTAATATTATTGATATGTAAAATCAGAAGAATCCATATTACATCTTTGGTTGCAGACAAGAAATGTCTCATCGTTGATGCGATAGGTTAAGTGGTCTAATGAAGCTTAAAATTTGGTTCAGACATTTTAACAAACACATAATGTGCACATTCTGTTGATCATAATACATTTCCTTTCAATTCTCACAGAACCTAAAAAAATTAAGAAATAAATACTGGAAAGGAAACCAAATGACATTTTCTAACAAAAACTAATCAATCAAAGATTGTAGCATTGTCCAACATAATCGCAAAGTGGAATATAGCAAATAAGACCAGAATTGATTTTGATTCATGGTGAATGATGAAAAAATGAAGTAGTACCGATGGAAGGGGGACGGTGGCGGATTTTGGTGTCCAAACTTACATCTGGTATCGTTCCAATTTGGGAAATCTTGTGAAGGGTCTTCTTGAAAGATAATATTCAAAGGTATAGGGCAAAAGAACAATATTACAATTACTAATGACAAGGGGAGACCTTCAAAGGATGAGATTGAGAAGATGGTTCAGGAAGCTGGGTATTAGGTGCATTTTGTGCACCCTTTTTGCACACCTTTTAGTCCATCTTATGCATCTATTTAGCATAATTGTTCTTCATTTGTCTTGCATTTCATCATATTTCATGTTAGTCTCTAGAACAACCTTAATTGTTCTTCATTTGTCTTGGTAGTGACTTCAATCATATGACCTGATGTTTGTTCTTAATTTCTATCTAGTGAATTTTATTTTGCTTTAATCGAATGTTTGATTCTAATTGTGATTCTTATTGGCCATTTGAATTAGGGTTAGGTCATTCAAGTTATCTCTTTTACAAAATCTGTAATTGTTTTGTGAAATTGAACAAGTAACAAACATTAAATTGATCTCTGTTGAATGAATTTAGTGTAAATCTTATTCATACACTTTTACACTCCCGAGCTTGTGAGGAGTTATTGGGTGTTGTTGGTAACATTCACATAAAGCTTCATGCAATCTTTTAATCTAATTCTAAGAGCTTGTTTAGATTAGGTTAGTAAGGTTAAGGTTAATCAAAGAGCTTGTTTTTGTTTAATTAATGTGGTGAATGGGAAGTGTTAGAGCTTATTAACACTTTCAAGTACCAACTTAGATAGAACTGAACGAATATTGAGTCATCTTTGAATCACATTGCTAAGTTGTCATACATGAAGTTGGAGCCCTTACGTTAAGGCGTGTCAACCATCCTCACCAAAAAATACCACTCCACCATCTTCACCTACTTATAATATCCCAAACATTACACCCACATAAACTTCAACCACTACTCACACCATGGGAGATAACCATGGAGGGAATCCACCTCCAAACCCACCACCCGCGCAAACTCTCCGTCAATGGTCGAGGCAAGAGGTTACTCAACAACCTCTTTACATCACATATCTGGCAGCCACAAATCTTGAACTTAAATCCGGACTCATCCACCTACTCCCTACCTTTAGAGGTTTGGAAAATGAAGATCCTCACAAGTTCCTCACCGAGTTCCATGTTGTATGTGTGGGCATGAAACCACACAATGTCACGTAGGATCAAATCATGCTTAGGGCATTCCCCTTCGCAGTGCAAGATGCAGCCAAAGATTAGCTTTATGACCTCCCACCGGGGACGGTAACTACTTGGGTAGATCTTGCGAGGTTGTTTTGGATAAATACTTCCCAGAGATAAAAGCTTCAACCCTACGGAGGGAAATCATTGGAATTAAGCAACATAAGAGAGAAGCTTTTCACACATATTGGGAGAGATTCAAGAAAATTTGTGCCCGCTGTCCTAAGCACGGAATTACCGAGTACCAATGGAAAGAAGGCTTCTTAATGCTTCAAGTGGCGAATCTTTACCCGACAAGACTCCAACCGAAATCTGCAACCTAATCAAGAACATGGCTGAAGATTCTAAACATTCAATCCATGATGAAGAATGGTACACGGATGCACCCCGATGTGTAAAAGAGGTCCAAACTCCTCAAATTGAAGCTCAATTGTCCGAGCTTACGAAAGTGGTTATGATGCTAGCCAAAGACAAAGGTGTGCAGCCCACACCCCACCCGTGCGGTATTTGCACTCAAGTGGGGCATCCAACCGATATGTGCCCACAACTTCAAGACGAGGATTATGCGGAAGCAAATGCTTTAGGAGGATATTCCGGGTCAAACCAAAGGGAATTTGAACACTCACGAAATGACCAAAGATGGAACAACAATCAAGGTTGGGGAGGAAATCAACAGGGAAATTATCAACCAAGTCAACCACATCAATACCAACAAAGACCACCATTTCCTCAAAATCAACAAAGACCACCTTTTCAACCTCAAAATTTCCAGCCAAGGCATCCACCACAACCACCTCCACAAGCGGGTTCATCAAGCATGTCACTAGAAGATATTATTAAAATCCTTGCCATTAGCACTCAAAGCTTCCAACAAGAAACGAAAGCAAGCATAAAAAGCTTGGAGCAACAAGTTTTACAACTTGCTCAGTCGTGAGTAAGATGGAATCACAAGGCAAGCTACCATCTCAAACCGAGAAGAACCCGAAACACAATGCATGTGCCATTACCTTAAGAGGTGGGAAAAGCTATGAAGGTCCAAGGATGTTGGATGAAGAAGAGGAAGAGAAAGAGATTGAGGTGGAAGAAGCTGTCAAAGAAGAGGAAAGGAAAAATACTTCAAAGTCAAAGAAGCCAATAGAGACCGAAGTGAAAGTCACACCAGCTCCATTTCCTTCAAGGCTAACAAGTACAAAGAGAGAACGGGAAGATGACGAAATCATGGCAATGTTCCGAAAAGTTGAAATCAATATCCCTATTTTAGATGCCATTACACAGATTCCTAGATATGCTAAGTTTCTTAAGGAACTTTGCACATCTAAGAAAAAGCTTAAAGGAAATCAAACTGTGAATGTTGGGGAAAACGTTTCGGCCGTGTTACAAAAACGGCTACCAAAAAAATGCAACGATCCGGGTGTATTCACGGTTCCTTGTAAAATGGGTAACCTTTTTGTGCCACGTGTCATGCTAGATCTTGGAGCATCAATAAATATCTTACCCTATTCAAGTTATAAAACAATGGGAATTGGACCTTTATCAAAAACCGGAGTTATCATTCAACTTGCCGACCGGTCTTTGGTACACCCAAAAGGTGTATTGGAGGACGTGTTAGTGCAAGTCAATGAACTTGTATTTCTCGCTGATTTTTATGTTTTGGATATGGGTGATGACAACACCCCACAATCGAGCTCCATCCTTTTGGGGAGACCCTTCATGAGTACCGCAAAAACAAAAATAGACGTAGCAAATGGTACTTTGTCTATGGAGTTCGATGGTGAGGTGATCAACTTTAATATCTTTGAAACTATGCGTTATCCTAGTGATATTCATTCTTTAAACTTCATAGATGTTATTGATTCATGTACTAATGATTGTTTTGAGTTGTCAAGCCAAGATGTGCTAACCACCATCTTGAGCAAGCATTTTGATGAGACATGGATCAAGAATCTGGCTGATAAGTACACTTTGGAGGATGAGTTGATTGAAGCAATCAACTCCTTGGAAAAAGCACAACCTATGAGAGTTGAACCACCCCGCATGAAGCTCAAAAATTCCAATCCGAAACTCCTTCCATCCATAGTACACCCACCGAGTCTTGATTTGAAGACTCTTCCCGACCATTTCAAGTATGCCTATCTTGGAGAGGAAGAGACATTACTGGTGATAATTTCAACCAAGCTAGCAAAAGAAGAAGAAAAAGAGTTGGTTGGAATTTTGAAAAAGTACAAGGAGGCTATTGGTTGGACCATTGCGGACATAAAGGGGTTGAGTCCATCATTAAGCATGCATAAAATATTGATGGAAGAGGACTTTAAGCCAACCCGTGAAGCCCAAAGGAGATTGAATCCACCTAT